AGATAGTTTCTCATATCACAGTAACACACATGCTGTTTTATGACATTGGTTAACAACCCCACAACATTTTAACCCTCTAAATTCTCAACTTAGGTTCATGTATTTTTAATGAATTGTTTGAAATTAGTTTTTAAGTCACGATTTGCTTGCAACACTCTGCTTTGAAGGAACATTTGGGAGGACAAGGTCCATCCGCTGTCCTCTTGAATCCCAGACTACTTGCAGGAGCGGGCCATGATGGATGGGCCAGCACACCAGCCTTCACGGGGCACGCCTGCTAGGAGCAGTTTGTAGACCCAGCGGGTGGATGGTGGCCTTGTTTTGAGAGCTGACTGAAAGGGGGGCTTGCCGTGTTTACAAATAATCGCAACCACAGAAAAGAAGTCACAGCCACCGTGATGGACTAACTTGTGTCCACCAAAAAGCTACACTGAGTGTCAACCTCTGTGTCTTTGAAGGTGACCTTGTTTGGAAATAAGGTCTTTGAGGGTGTCGTCTGCTAACATGGGGTCACACTGGAGCACGGTGGGTCCTAATCACATCCGACCGTGTCCTTAAAAAGAGAGACGAAGAGACAGAGGGAAGACGGCCACATGAAGAGAGAGGCCGAGATTGGAGGGATGCACCCACAAGCCAAGGACTGCCAGGGAATGCCAGAAGCTGGAAGAGGCAAGGAGGGACCTGCTGAAGCCCTGAATTTGGACTTCTGGCCTCAGGACTGTGAGGCGTACAGATCCCCTTTCCTTCTCACGGGAACCTCTGTGCTCAACCAGCCGACCTTGAATGACATCACACCCGTGGCCCGCAGAGCACAATTGGGCAGGTTGTGGGGTCGTGAGCCCCCAGGCTGGCTTCACAGCTGAGGGTGTGGGGGGGGGGTGCCCACAGAGCAGGCATGAGAAGAGGGAAAGTCTGCGTGGTCCACTCTCGCTCTCATGCGAGGGGCTCTCTGGGGAATCGGGGCAGCTGACACGGTGCTCCCACCGAGGTCAATGGTGATCTCCCTGCCCCAGCACAGCACTTGTTGAGGAGCACCTCCCCATTTCCCTGTGCTGCCACTGGGCTGCCTTGTCCTGAAGCAGTCTCCCTGACCCTTCTGTACCCCCGCCCCCAGCCCCCTCTGCGATGCTGAAGCTGCAGACCCGCCAGGAGAGCCCTGACGTAGCCCCGGATGGGGCCAGCTGCTGGCTCGACACCCAGACAGTGGGCCCTTGTCTGCTCTGCCCCGGGCTTGGCCAGGCAGACATCTCTTGTGGATGAACCACGACCAGCTCGGCAGCCACAGCACAGCCGGGGAGCTCTTCCCTGCTCCCCCTGCACCCGGGCCTGGGGGCCAGGACAGCGCGGCTGGTGAGCACCCCCTCCTCACCTCTGCACCCAGGCCTGGGGGCCAGGACAGTGTGGCTGGTGAGCACCCCTCCTCACCCCTGCACCTGGGCCTGGGGGCCAGGACAGCGTGGCTGGTGAGCACCCCCTTCTCACCCCTGCACCCGGGCCTGGGGGCCAGGACAGTGAGGCTGGTGAGCACCCCCTCCTCACCCCTGCAGCCGACCAGGGCAGTTGAGTCCCCTCTGTACTCTGCCCTGCACATGGGGCCCTGCAGTAAACTGAGCTGGCCAAGCCCTGGGGTCTGTCTGCTGGTCTGTCTCCGATCCCGGGGTGGCCTGGCCTGCTGCCTGCTTCTGCAGGCCGTGCTGACACCCAGCTCCCGGCAAAGCAGGTGGCCCAGCTCTGGGGAGGGAGCCAAGCGTGCAGAGAATGTCCCGCTTGTGCCCATCCAGCCCAGGGGGACACGTGGCGCCCACACCTTTGTCCAGCTTGGGCACAATCACTCTTTGACTGCAGAGCCCAGGTCTTCCAGGACACAGGAAGCTGCTCTCAAAGCCGCAGAGGTGTCTGTGGTGGACAGGAGTCCCGGGCCAGGGAGGATCTGGGCTCTGCCGGGGCTCTACCGGGGTTCTACCGGGGCTGTGCCGGGGCTGTGCTGGGGCTGTGCTGGGGCTGTGCCGGGGCTTGGTGGGCAGCAGGGAGGGCCTGTGAGCTGCTTTCCAGGGGCAGGTGGTCCTGGACTAAGAGTGCAACAAGGTGGAGGTCCCGTCTGACTCGGCGACCTCAGGCGTGGGGCTCCCTCGGGTGCGGGGTGGTGGGTCTCCTGTGTGTCCTTGTTACTGTGGGGGGTGTGCAGTGTTGACCCTTGCCAAGAAGTGGTGGGGGACCCTGCTCCTCTCCCCCTCCCCGCTCACAGCTCTGCGCCCACGCATCCGAGAACCGCCTCACCCCGACAGCCCTCCAGATGGTCCGTGTCTCCTGAGGCGCCTTCATGTATTGAGCCGTGTGTCCCTGTGTGTGCACGCGTGTCTGTGTGGATGTCTGTGTGCTCATTTCTGTGCAAGTGTGTGCACACGCGTGTGTCTCTGTGTCTTTGTATGCATGTGTGCATGTGTGTCTGTGTTTCTCTGTATTTCACGTATCTCTTTCCGTCATACAAAACTTTATACACGCACAGCCATGTGGCCCTAGCTGCTCTCCCCATACTGTGACAGCACACTCCTCCTTTCCTCCCCGGATTTCCCATGTCTATTCAACCAGCTCCTGACCCTGTCTGCCTTCTCATCTCACCTCCGGACAGGAGCTGCCCGTTTAGTCTCATGTATCTACTTGAGCTAAGAAGCACACTCTTCGTGAGTATCTCTTCATGTCCCACAGTCCAGTCTAATTTTTGTCTGAAGAGTTGGCCTCGGGAATGGTTTCAGTTCTGGGTTGACAGAGAGTCCGGGGGCCATACTTGCTGGGGTTCCTGTGTGTCTGTGTTCTGAGGGTTTCTCTCTGTGTGTGGGTGTCTTGGACGTCTTATGTGTCTTGTGTGTGTCTGTGTTTGTCTGCTCTGGCTCCCGTGCTGGTGGTGGGACCTCTATGAGGGGACACGGAGCCTTTCCTTGTCTGGAGCTCTGGGCTCTGATGTCCACTTGGGTGACAACCTGCTGGGCAGGTTCTGTGATGACACCAGCAGCTCACGGTCTGAGTTGAGAGGAGGAGGGAGCTGATCCCACAGACACTTGGGGGCTCAGTGGCTGTGGGTGAGGGAGGCTTCCACGGGCTGAGGGAGGAACTCTGGGTGGGCACAAACTGGGCCCCCCACTGATGCACCCATCTTGCAGAGATGGGGACCCCCCGTGTCCCTGCACGCACTGTGCTCTTCAAGCGGGAGAGGACCGGTCTGACATACCGTGTGCCTGCGCTGCTCCCCGTCCCCCCTGGGCCCATCCTGCTGGCCTTTGCTGAGCAGCGGCTCAGCCCTGATGACTCTCATGCCCACCGCCTGGTGCTTCGGAGGGGGACGCTGGCCAGGGGCTCTGTGCAGGTGAGGGGGGGTATTGGGGGGTTCTGTGCAGGTGAGGGGGGTGCTGGGGGGGCTCTGTGCAGGTGAAGGGGATGCTGGCTGGGGGCTCTGTGCAGGCGAGGGGGGTGCTGGAGCCTCCTTGCAGATGAAAGAGGCTCTGCGAAGGTGAGGGGGCTGGGGGCTCCATGCAGGTAAGAGGGGTTGCTGGAGATTCTATGCAGGTGAAGAAGGATGCTGGGGGGCTCTGTGAAGGCGACGGGGAAGTGGGAGGGCTCCCTGCAGGTGAGGGGGGTATAGGGGACTTGGTAGAGGTGACGGGGGCTCTGTGAAGATCAGTGGGGGTTCCATGCAGGTGAGGAGGGTCTCTGTGTAGGTAAGGGGCTCCATGAGGGTGAGAGGAGGCTGGGGGGCTCAGTGCAGGTGGGCTCCCACCTTACAGAAGGACACGCAGGGTCTGAGGCCACAGGGGTGCCCACCAGGCAGACACAGGTCCAAGTCTGGCCATGGCCCCCTCTGCAGTGGGGCGGCCTGCGTGTGCTGGGGACGGCGGCCCTGGAGGAGCACCGCTCCATGAACCCCTGCCCTGTGCACGAGGCGCGCACAGGGACTGTTTTCCTCTTCTTCATCGCGGTGCTCGGCCACACGCCCGAGGCCGTGCAGATTGCCACCGGCCGCAATGCCGCCCGTCTCTGCTGCGTGACCAGCCGCGACGCTGGCCTCACCTGGGGTGGCGCCCGGGACCTCACCGAGGAGGCCGTGGGCAGCGATGAGCAGGGTAGGCCGGGCAGGTTGGGGTCAGGGAAGGGGTGGGTCAGGGTGGGCAAGGCAGGGGTGGGGGGCCGGGTGCGTGGGGGGGCTGGCAACCAGAGGCCAGTGGCTCCCCTGGAAAAAGCGGGTCTGCCCCTCCCTGAGGACACCAGCCCGGCTGCCCACACCCCGAGCGCTCAGTCCTGCCCCTGCAGCCATCCCACCTCAGCCATGAGTTTCTCCTTCCTGGGCTCACTTCTTTGCCCAGGAGAGGGTGGACCCTGAGGTCCCTCTTGGCCCCCCTTCTCTCGTGTCCCCTCACCATGTCCTCTTCCTCCTCCCCTGCCTCACCCCTGCTATGAGGGCCCAGGCGAGAATCACAGGGCAGGTGGCCAACCCCAAAGCCGGCCTTTTCCTCCATTTCTGCTGCCCCTCAGCCTGACCACCCGCTGCCCCCACCCGGCCCTGGATGCCACGCCAAGGGGCATGGACTTGACACACTAAAGCTGACCCAAGAAGTGACTGTCTACCTGTGTGGACCCTCCCAGGGGACCCCGCCAGGGCTGGCTGTCTCCAGACCCTGTCCCTGAGGGCTGACCGAAGGCCCCCTTGCTCCCATCACCCTCCTTTGCTGCCTCACCTGCCTTGACCCCACAGCAGCTGGGCAGTGCCCCCCTGCATGGTCATCTGCCCACTTGCTCTGAGGGCTGGCTAAGGGGGCTGCCTGGGTTCCTGCTGGGATGGGGGCTCTTGGCAGCGGTCTTGTTAATGGCTGAGAGAGCCCTGTCTAGCCAGTAAGGAAATGACACCGAGGGCCCAGGACACCGGGATGAGTCAAGGGAAGCAGTGGTCAGTGGGTGGCTCCCCACCGAGGACCCACACACCCAATCCTGGTCAGTGTGGCCACGGCTCCAGCTGCAGCTGACCCTCCCATCTCCCTAGACTGGGCCACGTTCGCCGTGGGTCCCGGCCACGGCGTGCAGCTGCGCTCCGGCCGCCTGCTGGTGCCGGCCTACACCTACCGCGTGGACCGCCGCGAGTGCTTCGGCCGCATCTGCCGGACCTCCCCCCACGCTTTCGTCTTCTACAGCGACGACCTTGGCCGAAGCTGGCACCACGGCGGCCTCGTGCCCAACCTGCGCTCGGGGGAGTGCCAGCTGGCGGCCGTGGAAGGCGGCCCGGGCGGCTCTGTGCTCTACTGCAATGCCCGGAGCCCTCTGGGCAGCCGTGTGCAGGCGCTCAGCGCCGACGAAGGCACCTCCTTCCTGCCTGGGCAGCTCGTGCCCCTGCTGGCAGAGACCTCCCGTGGCTGCCAGGGCAGCGTGGTGGGCTTCCCAGCCCCGTGCCCCAGCAGGCTTCGGGCAGGGGCCTGGCCGGTGGATGCCAGGAGCCACCCCCATCCTCCAAGCTCTGGTCCCAGAGTCCAGGAGCCCCTGGAAGAGGGTGCCGAAGACCCCCGTGAGGTGGCGGGGGGCTGTGGGGATGGCCCAGGGGAGCCTGGCCCGGGGCCTGGGCTCGGTGGGGATTGCGCGGCTTCCGAGGCCCCCACTCCGAGCCCCACGTGGCTGCTCTATTCCCACCCGACGGGGCGCCGGGCTCGCCTCCACATGGGTGTCCGCCTCAGCAGGGCTCCCCTGGACATGAACAACTGGTCGGAGCCCTGGGTGATTCACGAGGGGCCCAGCGGCTATTCTGACCTGGCGGCTCTCCCAGGCCCACACGAGGGAGACCCGGCTTTCGCCTGCCTCTATGAGAGTGGGGTGCGGGTCTCCTACGAGGAGATCTCCTTCAGCCTGTTCTACCTGAGCGACGTGCTGGACAACGTCCCCCCTGGGAAGCGGTGTGCGCGCTGCCTGCCCTCCTGAGAGTCACCAGCGACCCGGCATGGGCCAGCTGCAGGGGCGCCTGTGGGGAGCAGCCTGGGCGTGGCTCTGGTGTCTCTGCCCCTCACTGGTCATCATGTCCTGTATCGGGAGTCCCTGAGAGTGTCTTTGTCAAGGACCCCGCTGGATATAGAGAAAAGGCTGAGCCTTCTCACGTTCATACAAGCTCAGCGGGTCTCCAGGAAAGGGTGCAGCCTCCGATGGGGGGCAGACATGGGCTCTGAGCTGTCCATGCTCTGCCCTGCCCCTCAAGGACATGCCTGGGACTGGACTGCAGACTCCATCAGGTGCTTCCTGCCCCAGGAGCTTTTTGCTTTTAACTCTTGCTGTGCTGGCTCTTTCCCAGTTTGTGTACGAGAGATAAAGGGACTGTGCCCCCACGTCCAAGTCCACATCTCTGCCTTTTCTTCTCATGTCCAAGCTGCTTCCCAGACCTCCCCTCCAATCTTAGAGCTGGCCTGACCCCTCTCAGCCAGACTCAGCTCCCCAGTTGCCAAGGCGGCCAGAAGGAGGACGCGACGAGAGGAAGCATGCGCCACCTCTGTCTGTGTTTGTGAATGGGCAAGGTCGGCCCCATCCCTGAATGTCCTGCTGGAGGAGCAGGTGTCTGGGGGTCAGCTCTGTGGAGCCAGCGGGTTGAGCGGGAGGGGGCTTCTCCCCGGACACCCCCATGCGGCAGCATCCCGTCTTGCTCTGGAGAAGCCACGGGTTCCGTCTTGATTGTTCCCCAGGGAACAAGAATAGGAAGAAGTTAGAAAGAAGCACCAAAGTGGTAGCAGTGGTATGGGGAGAGAGGTACGTTTGAGCCTATGGTTGCCTTCCGACCTAGGGGCTTATTTTCCAGCACTATACTGGACAATGGAGCCCTGGTGGCACAGTGGTTAAGAGCTCATCTACTAACCAAAAGGTCAACAGTTCGAATCCACCAGCTGCTCCTAGGGGGCAGTTCTACTCTGTCCTATAGGTTCATTATGAGTTGGAATCGACTTGATGCCAACAGATTGTAACTGGACAACGTTCTGTTGTGATTCACAGGGTTTTTACTGGTTAATTTCTGGAAGTAGATCACTAGGGCTTTCTTCCTAGTCTGTTTTAGCCTAGAAACTCCGCTGAAACCTGTCCGCCATGGATGACTCGATGACTCTGAAGTACGTGAAATACCAGTGGCATAGCTTCCAGCATCAGAGCAACATGCGAACCACCACAGAGCGACGCGCTGACAGACGGGTTGTGATGATACATTCTATAGCATCACTGTGCTGTGATTTGTTCAACGTTGTCTCACTGAGGGTCATTCAGATTGTTTTTATTTGCTTTGCCATTACAGACAAAGCTGCAGTAAACACCCTCGAACACAGAGCTGTACAAACTGGAGCTTTGGTTTCTGTGGGATAGATTCCCGAATGTGGGGTGACTGAGCAGAGGGTCTCTAATTTTTATTTTAATAAATAATAACATCCTATTGTCTCAAAAAGAATAGCAATTCACATCCCAAAAGTAGCATGTGCCAGGGCTTGCTTTCTTGCACCCTTGCCAGCCCTGCAATCCTCACAATCGTTGCTATGTTTGAGCCCATTGTTGCAGCTACTATGTCAATCCATCTTGTAGAAGGTCTTCCTCTTTTTCGCTGACCCTCTACTTTATCAGGCATGATGTCCTTCCCCAGGGACTGATCCCTCCTGATAACGTGTCCAAAGTATATGAGATGTAGTCTCGCCATCCTTGCTTCTAACGAGCATTCTGGCTGTACTTCTTCCAAGACAGATTTGTTTGTTCTTCTGGCAGTCCATGGTATATTCAGTATTCTTTGTCAACACCATAATTCAAAGGCATAGACCATGAAAATATAAACACGAGACAAGTGATGTAGCTAGATTTATATCAGGCAAGGAAGAGCTAAGACCAGAGCATTTCTAATGATAAAGGAGTACGTTTCAATATGAGAAAAGTTTCAATTCACCAGGAAGTTGTAACAATTCTAAATTTGTATGTACTTAATACTATGCCTCAAAATACAAAGAGAAAATTGACAAATCTATAAAGAAAAATATGGAGTCCTAGTGGCACAGTGGTTAAGAGCTTGGCTGCTAACCCAAATGTCAGCAGTTGGAATCCACCAGCCGCTCCTTGGAAACCCTCTGGGGCAGTTCTACTCTGTCCTATAGGGTCGCTATGAGTCAGAATTGACTTGATAGCAAGAGGTCTGGTTTTATTTTTTGGTTTATAAAGAGAAATAGACAAATCCACAGTTGGAGCAGAAAGTTTTAGACATAAGTCTCTTATTAACTGATATAGCAGGCAGGCGAAAATATCAGCAAGGATATAGATTTGAACAATTTGATTAATAAACTTCACCTAATTGACATATGTAGAACACTGCATAAAACAACCACAGAATATACATTCTTTTCATATACATTCAGACATTTATAGAAAT